TCCTAAAACATGGAACGGATGTCATGTTTTTAAAAACAATTTTTAGTTAATTTTTTAAATAATTTTTAAAATTTTCTAAAACCAAAAAATTTTCAAATTTTGCAAAACTTCGCCTGTTCCTGCTCGTATGTTCGGCCAAGCCTTTATGGTCACTGGCCCCCGTAAAGCCTCTAACTATGGCTTATAAATACAGCCATTAAGTTTCAACTTGTAAAACTCCCTGAAGAAGTCTACGACAGTTACACGAAACGCGTCGGAGAGTAAAGAAGTTTTGCAGCTACTATTCGCAGAGTGCTACTCTTTATGTTCAGTTTTAAAAAAATGCTTTAAAAAATTGTTAAAGAAATTGGTCCAGACTGCGAACAATTTCTGAGCCGCCGAAGGGAGCGAAGTCGAAAAACAAATATTGAAGCATCATTGCACAGGGTTCGATGTACACAGCTTTAAACTAAACAGTATGTTCACTTTTAATCCCTTGGGGTATTTTTGCTTCTTCGAGGAATAGACGCTTTTCCTTCTCGTCCTCACCTAATAGCTTCTTGATTACGACCTTCTCAGGACTGTTCTTCTCCACAAAAACCAAACCATAGGATCCTCGACCGATAGCCTCTTCTTTGTCTCGCAACTGCTCATGCGAATAATGGTAAACCATGACAATCCAGAGATCCGTCTGAATTACACTTCCCTTTCAGGTAGGGCAATTTAAACGCCATAGAGTTGACGATTTGTTCTGGACACCTAGTTGAGAAGAAATTCTCCAAAATCTTCTTAACGGCTACCTTCTGCTAAATTTCTTTTTTCTTTTCACGCCATTAGAAATTCTCACGCGCAGGACCCCCTGCTAACCTCTCTTCACCTTGTTTTACTCGAGGCCTAAAACTTATTCGTGAAAGAAGAAACGCTCGTATTAAAGTGGTTTACAACGCGAAAACGCAGCCATCTTTCGTGCATGATGGTTCATTATTATTCAAACCACTCAGTAAAAGAGTGGCATGATGGTGTTTTGGCATTTGTTACATTTCACCATTTCACCATTTCACCAATCCACCATTCTACCATTTTGCCATTTTGCCATTTTGCCATTTTGCCATTTTGCCATTTTACCAATTCACCATTTCACCATTTCACCATTTTACCATTTTACCAATTCACCATTTCACCATTCCACCATTCCACCATTCGTCCTTTCGCCATTTTTTGCATTTCACCATTTCACCATTCCACCATTTTACCGTTTTACCATTTTACCATTTTACCATTTTACCATTTTACCATTTTACCATTTTACCAATTCACCATTCCACTATTCCACCATTCCACCGTTCCACTATTCTACCGTTCCACCGTTCCACCGTTCCACCGTTCCACCGTTCCATCGTTCCACCGTTCCATCGTTCTAGCTTTTCGGGTCACCCTTCCCAGAGGGCTTCGCAAGCCTATCATAAACATTGCGTTGCGTCATTTTGCTCAAGTAAAATTCTTTTGATTAATAACACTTTAAGAAAGATGCTTTCTTTCGTATGGGAGGAAAACTTTTAGCTTCCAGTGGTATAGAAACATGTTTGAAATATCTAAGCGCTTAGAACAAGCCAACCAAGCTGCAAATCCACAAGAACATTTGGAAGAGGAGCATGTGAAAGCTGGTCGCAACGCTGAAGTATCATTTGTGTCCGATCTGCGTTTGAAGAGCGGGCTTGACAAATCAAATTTGTTTTGCTGCTTAAGAATTCCAGACAGATATAAAGCACGGAAACGAGAAATCGATGTAGTGGTTCTAACCGCAGATGGAATATTTTGTATTGAGGTGAAATATTGGTCCGGCACTATAACGAGAAGTGAAGACGGCTCAAAATGGATCCAGACGAGAACGAAGCAGATCGCGACAAACTCCTTCACTACTAACCAAATTGAACACAAAAATAGCGCCACAGAGACTGAAGCTAAGGCTCGTCTTCTTAGAGATTATTTAATTAGAAAAGAGGTTTACGTTGCAGAGAATCTGTTCCACAGCCGAGTCGTTTTCTGTAATGGAAACGCTGAGCTAGATGAACAAATAGCAAACAATAGCGTTGTAGTTAAACCGAGTGCCGATCATGACAAATTCATTGAAAGCTTTAGTCGCGGCTTCTTTCAAAGTTTGTCAGAATCAGTCGTGCCATCCTGGATTTCAGGAAAACTGTCCTATTCACAGATGCATCAGATCAGAAATGTTCTGTCCACGACAGGAACTTGGGATATAATTCATTTGAACGGAGGGAGACAGCTTTACGGGGATTTGAAAGAATGCGCGGAGGTTTCTCTCGATCGGAGGAAGTGTGAGGCGTTAGTGTTTTCGCATCAGAGAAGTCGTGTGTTGGGCATGACGTGGGCTTTATTTGGCTACAGTCCACAAGTCTTTGTATCCTTGATCGAGCGGGGTGGAAGCGGATTGTTGTGGAACTCCTATTGTGCCACCTTGAAAATACCGCACAACACTGATGTTATTTTCCGAATTTGCGGAGATGAAGTAGATTCAAAGATCCCAGCCAACGAGATTGAAAGGATATCTATCAGCATCTGAAAGAAACGTACAGAATATTTGCGGAATAGTTTTTTTGAGACGAGAAATTGTTAGAATAAGAAAAAAAGTGGAATTAACTACAAAAGTTGATTTGCGGAAGCAAAGTTATCCACGCGGTTGCGTCTGTGCAAAGTGTCATTTTTAGCCCGCCTTCGGGAAAGGTCATTTGTAATGTTCAGTTACGCATATAACCCTACTCACTGATACTTTTGGTAATTAAAAGGATCCTTCCACAGAACAAAATAATCCAAGTGTGATGAATGACTTTGTAAATGTCGTACTGTTGATGATAAGTGCCTCATTCTATATCAGCAGGTGTCATCAGTGGTAATTGCGTGTGCTTGCGTGTGTGTGGAAGGGTTTCTGAAACTGGAGCTACCAAATGTTGTAAGGAGTATACGCAAGACTTTTTCAAATCCAGTTTGAAATTCCTATTACCAGTTGGTCCTTCTAGTTCCTCTCAAAGTGAGTGTTCTCTAGCTATGAAGGACCCGAAAACTCTGCCACATGAGACATGGTTAGATGCTACTCTTGTTTAAAGATTTAATGATTGTAACCGAGAAGTTACAATTTATAGACCCAACATTTCAACACTCCTGTCTAGTGTCTTCATCAGGAGTGACCTAATTGTTGCAACAAGAGGTCCTTTTAGATGCTCATGAATAAGCTGCCTTTTTTCCTGACTAATTGTAAATAGGCATCATTTAGTAAGCTGCCATCATCACAATTTAAGGAGTGTGGGCTGAGTTGATATGCCAAGCTTCCAAACAAAGGCGCTGGTGGTAACGTCCATCAGTGGTGATAATTTTAGACTTATCCCACCCAATAATATGGTTAGTAGGGCATGTGTGCTGTGAAAAAGCTGAATTTTCTTTTTTGCAAAAGAAGACCCTACTATGGCGTAAATGAAATTACCCCTATTTATGTATCACAATAGCAAGATGTAATATATGTATTTGAATTGACAGTTAAGCCTCTTTGTTAGAAATTAACTTCACAACAGTTCTCTCATTGGGTTTAGTTTATATCTAAGCTATTTGGCCAAATAATAATAACAGTTATTGGTAGACCCCTATGACCCATTGCTGTTCACTGTTCTCTGTTTTTAGTCAAGAAACTGGCTTTCCCTGTCAATGAGATTCACAACAATACTGAAACTTACTCAGTCAAGTTCTCCCAAGCTTAAATTCACTTTGGACTCTTTGCAAAATTGTTGCTTTTCCTTTCTAGCTTTAGAAACAAGTAATTTCTTTGGTTTTGGCTGAACAAAACTGAATTGAAATCTACTTTGAAGCCCTAAACTCCACAAAAGTATTTTATATTTAAAGGCGATAGTAAGAGGATTGGATACAAATTAAATTTATAACAATGACCTTCTCTATGTTGTAAAATGAGGTATTAAAAGCTATGAGAAATAGGTGCCAGAAAGAGTTACATTGCGAGAACAATATTTTTCAGTTACTGGTATTCTGCATTTCTTATGATAATTGATTGGCCAGCTTGTGTTAATATTGAGGGAGACCACCAGTCTAAAAACCTAGTGCCACTTAAAATGGGGATCCTCATACAAATTCCTCTAGGTGAAACATTATTCCCTTAAGCCTAACACATTGCTATAAATTTACAAATCATAAAAATCAATGCAGAATGCATTGGGACAAAAAGGAAAAACTTACTAGTATTTTATTACTCAATTAAAGACAATTAGTCGGTAATGAAATGGTTAAATTAGTCCCTGAATTGTGTTAGATAGTCTTGCAGAAAATTATTCTTATCCATCCTAAGACACAAAGAAAAAGTACTGGAGCTCAAGATGTAGAAAAATTCTACCATATGCTGCAGTTTTGGATAACTCATGGATCTGGAGAGTTCTTTATTTGCTGAGGGATTAAAGTTTAAAAAAGCCTAAGTAAAAAAAAGAAGGGTCTTTCCAGTGTTAACTACAGGCCTCCTTAATGTTGCCCACAAAAATCAACATTTGGCTGAGTTAGAGATGGTTTGGAATGCACTTTCACTGGACAAGATTAACACTTGGTTGTAACGAGCCCCCCCTTTAAGGATAGTGTGAGAAACTGAAGAACACTTTTAATGGATTTAGTGATTATGTCTTGAAGTGACTATGTAACAATAATTTTCTTTGATGAAAAGGTGGTGGTTGTTTCCCATGCCAGTTATTGGTGATATGTTTTGTGCATGATCCATGCTTAGTCATTCCATTAAATGTAAGTTACATTGCATGCAGACATTTCCCAAAGATATGAAGATTACAGCACAGCTAACTAACAGGAACTGGTAGCTAAAATAGAGAGTTAACTAAAGATCTATAAAACATTTCTATTGATGCACTAGTTATTTCTATATATGGATCAAAAGTGTTATTCTGTCCTCAACTGATGAAGCACTCTCCAAATCCATAAAAAGAAGTCTCTTGCAGGATGAAAGTGGACTTCACCATTAGCCAAACCCACTTTAAAGCTATGCCAGGCAGCGTATGGTGCCAAGAACAGCATCCAGTAAAATGCAATGTCACAAATGAAGGATGGAAGAAAACTCCATAGAGCAAGGTGAAACAATCCATTCACAGAAGCTGTAATAATGATTCCAATAAACAGTCCTGGTAGTTGCCTGTGCAAATGAAAATGGTATCCAGTCAACTCGCCGACGGACCAACTCGCCGACGCCAACTCGCCGACGCCAACT